AGAGTAATTGAAATTCAATTTTACATAATATAAAGATTATTAATTAATAAAAAAAACAACTTAATTGAAATTGTTCATAGGCTGTGACTGGTCGTTTTATTGAATTATGAGCATTTGTGGATCTATTCTGATCAGGCTGTTGCAATTCTTTGAAAGAATCACTTGCGAGTTTTCTTTGGTAATTTGCTGTCCCAAGTTTCCTTAGAGAGGCATTCCTATTAAGTGCAACTTCTTCAGAATTAAATGTATTATAGGGATAGTTTGTAACTAGTTGTCCTCCAGTTACACTTGAATCATAATCGTTTTCAGGGCCGAAACTGTCAAGCTGTTTCAATTTTCTAGTAGAATAATCTCTTTCGAGTTTTCTTTGAGAATTTACACGTGTGACTGCCTCAAGTTTCCTTAAAGATGCATTCCTATGAAGCATAATTTCTTCGGATGCTTCAGAATTTGATACAGAATAGTCATAATCGTTCTCGGAACTGATCTTATCAAGCTGTCGTAATTTTCTAGCAGAATACTCAGAATCTTCGGAAGTTGTTAGTATGCGATCGTCATTATTTGAATTTTGATTATATGGCTTATTTGAATTTTGATTATATGGTTTATAAGCAAGAGACGGGAAGTCTGGAACATTAAAGGTACTCATTTCGGATTTGATATTTATTCCTCTCAGAGTTTAAGGTATGTGTTTATCGGGATAAATGAAAGAAACTACCTAAGTTCAACCTCAAAGCGTAATAGCTGAGATTAAATTCGACCAGCCGGAGATTTTATTAAAGGAAGGAAGGTTTACCTTTGAATGACTTAAGGTATATAATGAAAGAAACTACCTAAGTTCAACCTCAAAGCGTAATAGCTGACTAAATTCGACCAGCCGGAGATTTTATTAAAGGAAGGAAGATTTACCTTTGAATGACTTAAGGTATATAAGTAATGTTATAGTTTGTTCGAAAAGAACGACAAAACAATGCTGAATCTGGTAATTGGCAGGAATTAATGTATTTATGCCAAGAATCATATATTCATATTGAATAAATTAAAAAAAGTCAATATGAAGGAATTGATATTTCTTCAAACAATCCTGAATTTCAAAACAACCTACCCAAAATTATGATT